GAAAAAACATTCAAATGAAGTCTTTTGTGTATAACCTTTTTGCAAATGTTGACTTTCGTTTATATATTTCATAGTTTTCCCTCATAAGGAACTAACAATAATCCCCCATCATTGCTGCATCCCATCTGACTTGGTAACCTTGCTCTATTGTCAGTATGTCTTGGTGGAACCTTTCCCCGTGTTCGTCACTGACAGCACCCAAATTTTCTGGGAAAAAATTCAAATGGGAGTGCAAGAAATGGATTCTGCAGTAGTTTTCAAGTAGTTCTTCTACAAGTGTTTCGTAATTTTTTACTTTCTTGTTCCCTAAAACTCCAAAATAATTCTTTTGAGAGAACTCCACGCAACTAATTTAACATTACTTAATTTTTGATCAAACTGTTGATCACTTAGTAGTTTTATAATTTGTGGTCCAACAAATATATCTACCTTCCTTGAGCTTTGCATCACTTGATTTCGAAAAAACGTGTTTAAGATATTTAAACATCACCTTCTTTGTCTAATGCTTTTACAAAATTTTTCATCAACCCCAGTTTAATATGTAATGAAGGTAACAAAACGTTTTTGGGATTAACAAGAGGTACATTCTTCATGTTAGCTTGACCTGGAATATTTGTCTCTCGGAGGCCATTCTTTTACTTGATAATGGCTCTGTGTTGCCCTACTGTTCCAAAGGCAAAGAATACAGCAAAAATTCGTAAATCCGCCTTGAAGACCTAGTAATAGTCAACACATATTTGTCACTTGTACGTATTATAACGTATTGCATTTAGAATAAGTGACATACTTTCGTGTGTCTCCTTCATGGCAACTGCATGTGCAAGAGGAATAGAGGGTCTTTTGTTGCCATTATGGAGCAGAAAGGCTTTTTAACTTGTTTTGAACGAATCTATAAATAAACGCCATTCGTCCAGGTTATGTGCAAATCCTAATTTTTCCATCACACCATTTGGATTTACACAAATACACATTTTATTCTGCATAATAAAAAACGAGGATAGCTCATGGTTACGGTTTCTAAATATTGTAACTTTGGTTTTAGGGGCTAGTAAATTCCATTGTTTCAATCTAGACCCTGATAGTCGTCTGGATATAGTCTGCGGAGTTCGAAGAGAAAATCTCGATATTTTATCCGTGTTTCCTCCTTTTGTCGGATGATATTCGTCTCGCCAGGAGCTGAAAACTCCACGATAAATGTCATCTTGTTCTGGTGGTCGAGAAGGACTTGTATGAGCCTGAGGGTGGGCGACGAATAGTTCCATTAAAGTTGACACTTTTTGTTCCGCCCAACGGATTCAATATTCCCCAGAGCGTAGGGCAATACCGGTGTTTCGTCAATACTGTAAGAGTGCTGTATTATTATTTTTATTATTATTATTATTAGGTGGTGATTGAAACTCCTACTTACTTCTCATTGAATAAACTTATGATTCAATATTTAAATTTATTCATGAAGTAATAATTTGTATAGCATTGCTACATCATTATAGACTTGCTGCAAATGTCCTGAAATGGTTTTAATTCTGCCTAACAATTCGTAAAACTTCAAGTTTAAAAAAATCTGTTTTTCCATTAACCAGCTGTCGCACCCCTACGAACGACAGCCCTCAGAAGTCGAAACTTGTGCGAGCGAAGGATTAACGAGGTCTTAT